AGGAACCTTAAATCTTATCAAAAAGGAGTTTTTAGAATGCAAAAATTGAAAATGTGTAATAAATTTAGAATCCTGTATAATAATATATTGGCGAGTGTTCCTCCTGTCTGTGACATAAATATTCCTTTCCACTGCCATAGATAAAATGATTTCCTCATTCTGTAAAGTTACAGGTTCTCTCATCATGTGAATAACTGTTCCCTCCCTCACAAAAGAGAAAATTGTTACCTCTTTGTACAGAATGCACAAAGCAAAGGGCAGATTTGAAAGATCTGCAGGTCAAAGCTGAATTACAGTAAATATTGTCTGTAAGTCAAGTTGTGGGACGGGGGGAAGCACTTTCTGCGGTGTTTTAGCACATCAGCATCAAATAGATGGTTTTCAGAAAGCATTTTTAAATGCCCTCTCACAGTCCTGTCCAGAGCCAGAAAGTTGCTTGGCAGCAACATTAAATTTCATCATTTTAAAGATAAAAACAACACCCTTCACTTGTGGATTTAAGTCTGTTCCCAAACCTGAGACGGGACCATTAATCTTGGGACAGTAGCAGGGCACCCTCTGGGGACACCAGTGTCAGATGACCATAGAAGACTCAAAGTGCTGCCAACAGGGCAAGGGAACTATGACAAGACAGAGGATTTGGGGTGCATCAAAGGATGTCAACAAGGATCTGTTTCCCAAACTGATCTAGCAATCTGCTTACTCGGCAGGCTTCTGTTCACGGTGATGAAGTAGCCTAGCAGTAGTGGCATGAGCCCCTCAGAAACATATGACCGAGCACTTGAGAAAGTCTGGAGGTTCATTGTGAGCAACGCAGACACCTCCCGTCATGGTACACAGAGACGCCCACCCAGTTCCACTTGTTCAAAAAGACAGCAATAGAGAGATGTACAGAAATATCCATATACACACACAGAGCCCATGCAGCAGTACAGAAACACCCATGTACAAACTCCTTTCACTTCCCAATGCACACAAACCTTTCTCTACCTGTGAAGACACAGCCGAGGCTGTTCCCATACTCCACCAAGGAGAGCTACAATGGCAACAGAGCAGCCCAGCCCACATACAAAAGGAAGAGCTCCATGTGGCAAGCCACATACTGAAGACAGTCCAGGAAGAGGACAAAAAAGCTGCAGCTTAAATGCCATTACAGAAGCTTTAAAGCAGAGGAACTTGAAGAGCTTGGAGCACTGGAAGGACACACACAACCTTGTAGAGCTCAGGACAAATTTCACTGCCCTTCAGTCTTGTACACTTGGCAAATGCCCACAGTTGCCTCTACCTAAAGGCGCTCTGGACCTGTGAAAAACTATTAAACACTTACAGTTTGTCATAATGTTAGCTCACGCTCAGCTACATATTCTGTGTGGCTAAATGCCATGCCATTCACCCAACTAATTAAAAAAACAAACAAATGATACAAACAAGAGAAGTCCAGAAAATTCCTCATATCTGGTAGCATGTGATTTCTTACTGAGAAATATGAACTAATACAAACTAAAATATAAGCCAAGACTACTCATTTTTCATTGAAGAATGGAGAACAGTCTGTAAAAATTCACACCAGCCTGTGAGAGTGTTAAATGTTAGCTTGCTACAGAAAAACTAAATTTGACAGTTAAGTGAACTATGATCAAACTTCTCCAATAGTGAAAAAGCATGAAGACCATAAAACAAAACACTACAGTATTCATATGACATCATAGGGTATGAAATTAAAATGTAGGCCAATTGTTGGCACCCTAAATGGAGAAATGAGGGATTTTTTATTAGCAGATCTTATGAATGTGTTTCATATAGAAAAACTCAGCTTTTACAAACAATACAACATCAACAAAGTATTAAAATTCAAAGATGCTATGGAGCCCAACATGCTAAAAGACCAAGTTCGTTTCTCATGTGGCTCATTCCTTCAATCCTAAGAAAAAGACATAGGTAGATAGACGGACAGACAGACATGTCGAGATAAAACTTACGAGCATAAGGTGAATCCTATCAAGCAGGGAAAATTTTCCTAAACCCACCTGCATTTCCTTGAAATGTTTTTGGTAAAATTGAAGAAACACACTACCATAAATAAAATTCAACAAATTCATGACTTTATCATATTATGTCAAAAAAGAAATTTGAAAAGGTCACATCATTTGTATTTAAATAGTAGTTTGTTCATAAAACCCCCACAATTGTATTCTTGAAATCCCCAAATGTTTTCATGGAAATCAGTTTTCTCTGACAGAAAAGCAAAGCTCTGTTCTGCTTCACCAACATTTATTAAAAAATAAAAATGGTTCAGACCCTGCCATTACACACACATTATTCACATGGCTCCGTTCCAGTATCCACACTTCAGAACTTATATAGTGGCCTTGCCTGGCATGCCCTTGATGTTCGAAAGAGAAGTGACTCCATGTTTTGGCAATGAACATATTAAAATCAGCAATTAGTGTCTCCAGGACAGGAAAGGTATGGAAGGAGAAATATTAGGACTCTACTATGTTAATTTTGTCTAGGCAATCACTGACTTATGACAAGATCAGTCACCTGCCTGTGGCGCTCTCAAGGGTAGAAGGTGTGGCAATCCATCGAGCTTGAGCAACAACCTGAACTCACAGTGCCATATCAGTACTGTCTGGTGCAGAGAATTATTTTGACATCCGGTGGGTTTGATCTGCATTTTCCCAAAAATCCTTCAGGATGAACAAATAGGGAAAATAATAACCTATTACTTTTATTTGCACTGCATTAGTGGTATGATAGTTCAAATCTTAAAACAAATGAAATATCTTAAACATTCTTATAAGCGATCTGTCACAGCTGCATTCATACCAAAAAGTAAAATTGGAAAGAAGCATCTCAGCTTCCTCTTGGAAAGAAATACCCTGGGGGGTGGAGGGGGAGTATTTCCTCCCTTGCCAAGGTACCAATGATACATAAATCCATGCAGGCTTGTTCCTTGTGCGGAAAGAAACAAACAGCTGCGTTCCACTTCAGTAAGCAATATATTAAAAGAGTTAGCGGGTTGGGGGTGGGCAGAGGGACGACCTAAAGATGTCCCTTGCCCCTAAGCACCTTTTGTAAATTGAGCCAACTTAAGTTTCAAGTCTCTCTCAGTTATCACCCTAACTCTCCCCAAAATCCCACAGGAGCGGTAAATTACAATTACTAGGAGGAAAAACTAGCATTGCTTCCCAGAAACACTCAAAAATGCTATATTTGGATTAGATTAGCCACCTCAATTAAGTACTTCAAACAGTATTTAGTATGGAGGCAGTGGGAAGGAGGAGAACAGATATTCCTAATGGAAAAATTATAGCCCTGTAATTAATCTATGTTAAAGTTCTCCTATCCCCAAAAGAAATAGTTTAGAAAGAATGATTAAAACTTTCAGATGATATTTAATAAATGTCCAAGAATAAAACTGGATGACTTCCAAGCTCATAAAACATAAGGACTGCAGGAGCTGGAACTTCACTGTAGAGTGCAGAATCTGCTGGAAACAGCAGCAAGGATGCAAATGATCCTTCAGTGTGCCAAGAAGATGCAGCTGCTGGGAGGCTGCTCTCTGCTAGGACAACTTTGCCCACCAAAGAAGAGAATACCCCAGGTTAAAAAGACAACAGGGCAATTTGGATATGATGCTTTTCACAGTTCAGAAAGGAGTTGGCTTTTTCAACACAGAATTTATTAATGCTGTAAATAACGGAAGACCATTCTAATGGATGTAGCAAGAACTGTGTCACGGAAGTGAATACCGTATACACAATATTTCCTCTGTATCAGTAAGTACAGCATAAAACTTTATCTCAGTGTCTCTATTATAATAGACCAATGTATAGCATTTTATAAGTAGACTAAGCATAGAGCTGAAAAGTATCATGGGTCAGGTAAGCAGTTTAGCCAAAAGCATGATACCACATGACCATCAGAGGTTGAAGTCAAGCAAAAATCCATGTCAATATCCCACATTCTCTGTAGAGCTTATTGCTTAGTATTAGCCTTATTTCTTAGTCTAAAATTCTCATTGTATCTCTCTGAAGAGATAAGGACCACTTTGCACAACACTTGTCAAGGTTTTCAGGTTTCTGAATGACTAGTGAAGACAGAATTAATATTAAAAGTATTATGAAGGGTTGTTGAAGTGTATCTTACCTACTTGAATGTGGTTCCAGTGGAACGGAGTAGAGAAGGAGACACTGTATATTTTTTACGTCGAGTTAGATCATGCCCCAAATAAAACATTCTGACCACAGATACTTCATCTGGATACAAGAATAAAAATTTCCACATTCCTGAATTCATTCTCTTATACTTTTAAAATCTACAGAGTACAACATTTACTCTTCTTAAATGAGTTAACCTTCTTCTGACATGTCTGAAAGCTGAAAAACCAGTGTTCCAGCATTTGAATATGGTATTATTCTCTACAAACATTTAGCATACAGAACAAGTGACAGAAGATAACGGTTAATTTGTCACACTGTGAATTAATTGCTTTTAAAGGGAAATAGTGAGCGTACATCTCTCTCTGGAGTTTTGCCTACATTTTTACCTGAAGAGCTTTAGTTCTGTCTTTTAAATAGCTTACTGGCTTTGCATAGAGCAGACACAGAATTATGGATGAGGTTGATGCTCAGTCTTTCCCAGAAGGCCTATGCATCACAGTACCCCAGGCAAGCCCATCAGATGTTTTCAACACATCCTCATAGGAAAATATTTTAAATTCTGTACGATCTGTGTCCAGATGAAAAGTCAATAACAGATAATGTGTTCTGGACACCGAAATGTAGCATCACCTGGGGGGATAGGAAGTATAAGTTGCTTTGGAATCTCAGCTAAAGGGCCCCACACTTTATTAAACCTGGAGTTGTGAGCGTGTAGGTGTTGGATTACACACATCAATAGCAAGAGAATGATTTCTGGAGGCACTTATGGAGAGATTTTGAATTACGGTACTTATCAGGCCCCAGGGAGCATTTTGGCAAGTTTTTGAAATGCACTCATGAATTCCTCATGCGCTGTTTGGAGACAGCTACAATGACTGAAGCATGGAGGCTCGAATGACCGTTTGCTGTTTCATCACATGTGATTTCCAGTGCAAAAGCAGGGCTTCTCAGAGCAACAACACGTGCACCCTGTAGAGCACAAGTCCTTGCTGTCAGTGGCTGACACATCCCATGGCCTGTAACAGTGCTTCTTCCAGTAACTGTCTGTAACTCTGGGGTGAAATCCTGGCCACGTTTACACCACTGCAAAAATTCAAAAGTTTTTACAGGACCAGTATTTCAATCCGTTGCTTTGGGTGGCATCTGAATTCAATGCTATCTGAGCTGAAACAGGATGCAAACAATTAAGTTGTGGAGAATGCATACAAGGGGAAAAGGTCTTGTTCTGAGAAACCACTGTCAAGCACTTGGGTACCTGACTTTCTAAAGATAAGGAGAGGGATTCTCCAGACATTCTCAGAGCAGATTAGACAAACATCTGTCAGAAATGGTTTAGCTGCAGTCATGCTGCCTCAGGGTTAGCAACTAAATGATATCTGGAGGCCCTTCCCAGCCCCATTTCCTATTACACTCCCTCTGTAGGCAAACACATGCGTACATTTCTGGGAGAGGAGGTCCCTGGTGAGAATCAGCAGCTCAGCATTCAAGTAAGTCACAAGGGGAACTATTTATGTTCATTTCCCTGTGGTGTCTCTTTAGAGCTGTGCTGTAGCTGGTTTTGGTAGGCAAAAAGGTTTCTTCTCTCTCTCATAATTCAGAACAATATTCTGTCACTAAGCTCTCAAAAGAAGGTCCATGAATCTACAGAAGACATTGGTTCAGTGATTCTACTTAATTATTTCAGAACCAGAAGCGTTCTCCAGGAATGGCTGATAATTAATTATAGAAAAATAATGTGAAGCTCAAATATAATACAGATACTATTCATACAATAAAGATAACACTATTTGGAAAGCATGTCAAATTCTACAGTAGAACTTCTTCTGGAATAGCAGCTGACATAGTATTAATCACTAAAGCACTGCCATCTTCCAACAACAGAGATATGTATAGAGCTTCATAGATTAAATTTTAGATCTTGATAAAGTGAAATTTATACATTTGTACTGTGTTTGTGTAAGTAAGTGAAAACACCACTAGGCTGCTTTGCTGATTGACCTAAACTTAAGGTCCAGTACAGTGTTTTCACTTGACAATGCACCTTGATAGGTTTAAAGCTCTTGTAGAGGAAACTTCTATGGACTTCAGAAGTACGTATTGAATTTGCTGCATGTTCTCTTAAGCAGACAAGCCATAGAAAAGAGTATCTGACTGTACTATCCAAAGGAAAAAAAAAAAAAAAAAGCCATTGAACTAGATTCTATTTGGCTATGCTGTAGTTTTATGTAACATGTCAGGAAACAAAACAGCAACCGAAGTGAGGCGTGTCAGACTTCTAACTTATAAAGATGTGTTTTCTTTTAACCAGCAACTTGGTAATTAAAGGTAATTAAAACTAATTTGACTAATATTTCAGCAATATACCATTAAGTAAGCTAATGCTGTCAAACCAGTGGTCTATTTAAACTTTACTGCATTAACCCCAAGCTTTTGCACTTTCAGCTAAAACTGTAAAGGGCAAAAATATCTACAAAACTAGGTACTTGCCTTGCCTAACTAGCTGCTGCCTAATCAATACAAAGGAGAAAGCAGGGCCAAGAGTGAATGGGCACCAAACTTCTATAAGCATAGGAAGAGCTACTGGCCTCTGAACACGGACTTTTGCACATCTTTTTTTGTTGGGAAGCTGCCTGGAACTAGTCATATAAAGCTACTAAAAGCATGGTAACGTCATGGTTAGTGTACTTGCTGCAGAGAAGTCCAGGTTGCTGTAATCTATCCCAGGGGAGCTTTTCTGTATTTTACATTAATAGTTCATTGGATTAAATATAAAGCATGTCCACATATAGCCAGAGCAATGAAACAATAGTGTCGCATACATGCGTGTGAGCCGGCTTTCATTTAGTTCATATATCTCTATGAGTTTAGTTGTTGCAATATAGAATTTCCCCTGCACTTAGCTAGTTATCTCTGTAAGTGAAATGTAGACATACCTGAAGCAATACTCCAGGAAGCAGGAAACAATTTTCCCTCCCTCTTTTGTAACTACTGACTCGGGAGAAAGAGACTTAAACTGCAAATAAAGCCATAGTTTTAGGAAGCATGTTCCCACAGGGCCAGAAGCTTTTGTTAATACTATATGTGCACAGTACAGCTGGTTGTTATGTGTTTTTAAATTATTGCTTAAGATTTCAAGATAAGGATTTGCTCAGAGAAAGCTTCGACTGGATAATATTTCAAAAGAAATTGTTTCATTTTAATAACTTCTGCAAATAAAATTTCTTCCCCATTTCTCCCTCAGCCACACCTACAAATCCTAGAGCTAGACACTGGGGTAGCAAGAAGTCACTCTTTCAAATCTGCCAAATGATGAAGTTACTTGATACAAGCGGTACAGAAGGGAACCTACTAATATTATTTTGTTATTGAAATGAATAGAGATACATTAAGGTTGCTTTTAAGATTAACCAGATAAAGTATCAAGGGTGTGAAGGTCTTAAAAGGAAGCAGCAGAAACTCATATGGCAATAAAAACCATTTTTTTATAAATTGGCCTTTGAAAGAAAGACAGCTGCTTATTAGACAAGCTACACGCATTTTTATATACTGAGCTACGTTTGTATTTTTTGCATTAACAAGTACTATTGAGAATACCATGTCCCTATATTACTGCATTAGTAAATGCTTTTAAAAACTAAGATGTAAACATATGGCTAGGAAAAATTTATCTGTTTATCATGGTTCTTTTTCCATCAAAAAGCAGTAATTGAACAGCATCAGCAATGACCCATGAAGTATCTTTCTGAAAAGCACTAAATCTACTCTGTTCCATGCAACTAGAGAGAAGCACATTTGTATGTAGCTTACACTGAACTTTTTGTGATGACTCTGAAATGCCTGGTGCAGAGTCAAAAACAAACAAAAAACCCCCACCTTGATACTCTTACTAAACTAACTAGAGCAGCATCAACAAGAAGAACTTCCACAGTTGACTCTCAATTCAGTTAGGCACCATGGAGGCAGAGTTTATTCCATAAGCAACCAACAAATGGAAACTGCTTCCTGAAGCCAAAAAGGTCAAACAGAAAATGAGTAAGGCTTCCCGCAGCTCAAAGGTGAAAACAAGTTTATCACACATGCTTTCTGCATGGTCTTCCCAGCTGCTGTTTATGCTCCTCAGCCCCCCTCCCCAGCTGCTCGTTGCCTATTAAGTGCATCTCAGCTGCTCCTTGGAGTTCGCCTGACTTGTTACGCTTCATTGCCAGCGTGTTTGCAGTCAGGGTACCAGGTGGCTGCTTCTCCTCTACAATGCCAGCAGTGGCTGCCGGGCTGAGTGCTAGCATCAGCCAAGACTGCTTGCCATAAGCTTTAGAGGGAGCAGCGCCAACCACAAGTGTTAAAAAATCATGAGATCATGTCAAAATCATGAGAACTAAAAAAAATTACATGGGATTTTCTGTATGTTTTAGTGTAATAAAGTATTTTTTAGTGAAAATAAAGTAATATTTTCCATGGTTTTATCCTCTACCCTTCAGCTTAGAAAGTGTCCCAGAAAAATACCATTGCTCTGGCCAGTCCCAAGAACAGCCATATCTCAGGAGCCCAAGACTTCACACCTTTTACAACTGGGACCACTCAAGAGTCAAGCCATCCTATCACACTTCGAGACACTTGCATACTATTCACACTTGCTAAATTATTAAGCACTCTAATGAGTGTTGATGGTACCCACTATATCTGTAACTGAAAAGCTTTTTGCCCTCAGAAGACCAGAAGCAGGATTGATATTCTGCCTTCCTGTATAAAGCTTGTCTTGTGTTTCTTCACATGTAACCAAAATATAAAACCAGACATGTTCCTGAACACATCTCTCTGCACTACCCTGCCAAAACTGTCTTCAAGTTCCTAGACATGCAAGAATTTCTAGAATTAAGATGCTGCCAAATTCTATTTTCTTTCTCAACCTGTTGTGGGCAATCTTAGTTCCACTGAAGTCAATGAGATTTTTCCCAGGGATTAAACATGCTCATAATTTCACCCAGTAATGGCATGAAGCAGAAAGAATGGAGCTTAACAGATATTCAGTGAAGCGGCTGGAAGAAGAAAAAAAGGCAAACCTACTTTACATTTTTCAGTAGTGTCAAGGTAAAATATGAAATGCAGGCCACTAAGGAAGAATAAAACCCATGAAAAGGAGGTAGTAGTTTCACAAGAGTGCTTTACTGAGCACAACTAACTAAATATAGCATGGTGTGCTATATTTGTGCTGCATGTGCTGCATATCACAGCAGAGTGATAAAATGCTCTCCTATATGCAACTGAGTCTTCAAGTATATTGCAAATACACACAGTGTAACAGATTTTCTTTACTGATGACAAATTAATAAAGCCCCTTCCTGAAATGAACTTCAAGGGACTATCCCCATGGGGTTCCAGTATGCTAAACATTTTACACATATAGGAAGTCTACACTATGATGATACGTATAGCAAGTACTTGTTCATCACAATGTTACCTTCCATTTTACTTGCTCATGATTAAGACAGACCATATACTTTGTGTATTTAGCACCGTATGTTTGTGAGACAGCAAAAAAGTTCACGCACAGACACATTCATGACAGACAATTAATTTTTATTTCTTAAACGAATAGATGGGTTGTTATACTGTATTTTTTAATAGTTGCAAGCAATCTCATTATATCATTATGTCTAAGATACATAATTGAACACAAAGGAAATTGAGAACACACTAGACAGAATTAACAGGTAAATGAAATCAGCAAATGCTACTGCCACATCCCTTCATTTGATGTCTGTGCAAAAGCATCTTCTAAAGTTCCAAGCACACAGCACACACCAGTTAGCTTATTTTAAACAGCAAATTTGTTTCAGTAATCCATATGGGTAACTAATGCTTTATCACATATATGAAACCCCTTTAGGTGCTTTATTTTTGCATGCATGCTCCATTCCTTATTGATATGTTCCCTTTTTAAACAGAGTCTTTATTTGTTTTAAAGATCAAAGTAGATAAACTCACTACAAAGCTATGCGGCACGGGCAACACCTGTTTCTGCTACCCACACACATACTCTTTCACTCACTCCCCCTTCTGACCTCTCTCTGCAGGTGACCATGAGTGAACAGCTAGTTCTCTGTGAGACCTGAATGGGACATACACATTGGCAGATGTGGGCGAATACTTTAATGTTTATTAATCTAAAAAAGAGTAAAGATTACAAAAATATAAGGAGTAGAAAACCTTAGACAAGTTAAAATACATAAAATCTCTAGGTAAAGTTTATTTTGGTCAGGCAGAGTTTAGTTTATCAAACGTCAATCCAAAATAACAGGGATATAAACGAAACAAAAACATTGTAGTAACTTTATACTAAAAGGCGACAGTTACCCTTCTTTCCTAAGGCCACTGTACCACAGTAAATACTCTGATTCAGTGCATTAGAAAA